AGTTGAAGTCTATAGGCAGTTTTCTGGGCTTTTGATGTGGAAGGTAGCAATGCCTCATCTTCTGTCTTAGGCAGTTATAAGTAGATCCTAGCTGCATTAAGGTATATCTGATTTGGTTTCTTGTGAGTACCAGGACAGCCTGATGGTCCCTCTCTCTCAATCCTCACAGACAAAATCAAATCCTTACTCTTCTATATTAACCCAGTGAGGAAGGTATCCCTAAAATCAACACTAAGGTCTAGCAAAATGAAGATCCTCTGAAGGGTCCTTGCTAGCGTATGTCTGCATGGTGTAGTGCTATATAAGGGTACCTGTGCTAGCTCTGAGTGAGCTAGTATACCTCCAGTCCACAGCCCAGAGCTGTGCCATACAGAAGTGCTAGCCCAGGTCCCTGATTCTATATAACCATAATAGTGAGGCACACCACTTGGGTTAGTTCCTCCTTCTTAGGCTGGGCCTGCTTCTCAGCAGGGCTAATCTGTCTGTGTGGAGCACAGTGCTGATATGGCTTCTGCTTATGGAACTAGCCTGGGTATCTCTATATGGCTCTGCATAGTAGTAGACTTACAGCAAGAGAGACAGCTCCCCATTCTCACAGTTACAGAAGTTCAGATCATACCCTGGCTACCTAAGAAATCTCTTAAGTTTGAAGAGGGCAGTGGTTCTTCAAAAGTAACAGATGAAGTGACCCTGAAAGGTCCTGGAGAATTAGTAGCTCCCTGTGCAGAGGCATCTTGTCTGGGAGTGAGGAAGGACAAAGAATTGCACGTGGTAAATTAAGCTGCTTCGTAGGAACTGATTTCAGTGCAAAGTGAACGTCTTCCTCCCAAGTACACAAAACGTAATGAATTGCAACTCCAGTGTTCTGCTTGTTAGTCCAAGCCCCATGTACTGTTTTTCTGTTGTATTAGTCTTTTCCCCCCAGAAAAGTGGCTGTGTGAAGTAAAAGGTTTATCTTGTACACTGAAGCTTTGGAAAGAAAAATAATTAATTGAAATTAGATATCGGTACCTTCAAGATGAACCCAGAAATCATAGAATCATAGAGAAGTGGTGCTGAAAGGGATTTCCAGAGGTCATCTAGTCCAGCCTCCATACTGATGAGAGTCTGCAAGTCCGGTTTGGGGGAGAGGAGTTGTAGCAACCCCCTGCCATTCTTCTCTGTGCATGCCCTAAACTGATCTCGGTGGTGGGGATCATCCTTCTGGGGTCACTTGGGAAAGGGTGGGGGCGAGCCTGGTGGTTACCATTAAAGCAGTTTCATCTTTTATAAGGAGGATGATAGTTTTGTAGCTGGTGGGTCAGTGCTTCTAAGGATACTAATATTCAAATTATCATTGCCTGAACAGAAACCCAGTAACAGAATTGTATGTTTAGTCAGCAGTGAATGGGTTAATAAGATTCACGTCTTTTTCTGAGCAGTCTTATTTTGAAGGAGATTATAGCACCATGGGCAAAGTGTCAAGCAGTGGCCAAGAAAAATCATGGCAGAATCTTCCATCAGTGGAAGGAAAACACAATAAATCAGCCATCTGTGGAAGCAGTTACCAAACACCATCTTCTGCTGTGTATTATTTTGAACAGTCATATTGGATGAAATATCAAGAGAGAGAGGCTGGGATGTGAAAGAATGGTCATAAATGTGTATTGTATGATGAATGTTTTGCTAATGAGACTAGCTGAGGCAACCCATAGTTCCTTTTCTAGTTGTCAGCAAATTCCTAACCTGTGTAAATGTGTGTTCACTTTCAGGGTATATGCAGTGTACAATTCAGTAAAGGGATCCTGTTCAGAGCCAGTTGGCTTCACCACTCACAGCTGCACACCAGAATGTCCCTTCCCACCCAAGCCCTCACACAGGACCAAAACTTCACTTACTTTACAATGGAAGGTAAGTAGCAAAATAATGCAAATCTAGAAAAACAAAGTAAAAGCCCTGTATTAAATAGATGGGGCTGGTGGTGGGGCACTTAAAGATGCATGCTCACAGTTCCAGAGTTAAAAGTTCAGACTTGGCGCCAGACTCAGGCCAAAGACTTTCCCCAGTCAGCTGAAATGTACCTGAGCTTTTCAGGCTGGGGAAGTCAGAGGCAGCCACATATGATGCTGGCCACATCGTTCCCCTCTGTGCTGTCAGCTACAGAAGCTGGTATGCCTTAACCCCGTTAACCCAATTGGCTGCAAGGATCCAGTAGACCTTTGACCCTCCGCATTAATTATCGAGTGCTGTGATACCTTTGGTTTTCACTAAGTGGCTTGAGGTCACTGGGCTGAGGAACCTCTGCCAAGAATTAACTTCATATATATTTAAGTGTATATATATAATTAGTTTCCCTTTTTTTCTCTTCTTATCCATGGTAAAGTCTGCCAAGTGTTGTGCAAACACAAGCTCTGGTTTCACTTTAAACTGCAGTCATCTGGCTGAGAGTAAATGTGTGTTTTTTAAACTTGTTTCCAAGCTTTCCTTTTGTTTGTTGTTTGTTTATAGGCACCCATTGATAACGGTTCAAAAATCACCAGCTACCTTTTAGAATGGGATGAGGTAAGCAGCAACTAGCCACAGAAACAACAATTATTTGTAAAATGATATGCTGATTTTTACAAGGAACTGCCATGTGAAGGAAAACAATTAAATGCTGGGGAACTTAAAAATAGGAAAATGAAAGCTGGCTGGCATAGGTAGAGCATGCACTAGGAAACAGAGGAATTAATTTTCATCTGTAGGTCTTATGCACAGCAGTTTGTCTGCTTTGTTTTAGATGAATGGCTTTCCAGTCAGGTGCTCAGCGTCAAAAGTTTATTAATGAGCTTTGCCAATTACTGTTTCTTTCTTTGTATTGCAACCACATCTAGGAGCCCCAGTTGTGATCCTATTGTATACACACTGTACAAACACAGAGCAAATCCCTGTCTCGCATGAGTTAGGACCTCATTCCAAAAATCCATTAAAAAAAAAAATTCCCACTGATTTAAATGAATGCCATCTATGTATTGGCAGCAGTGTGCTGGTTGCCTTCCAAACACAGGAAAGGTGATGAGGTCACTGCCTCAAAGACCTTGCCTTCTAAATAGACAGCATGTTCAGGGGGGGAAGGGAAGGTATGAGATGCTAAGACTCTTACTGGAGCTATGATTTTATATTTTCTTCCTTTATGCCAACATTGTTTTGCCAACGCAGCTTAGGTCTAGGGAATGTAGGCTTTATGGCTGAGAGAACAGTTTCAGAGTTGTGTTACGGGATTTCAGGTCCAAGGCCAGTGTGGAAGAAGGTGTTGAGGCAGGAGTTAGAGAGCCAAAAAGGGGTGCTTGGTTGTGCAGGCGGGGAAAACTGCTGACCACAATGAAGGCTTTTTGGTGAAGAGTGTTCAACTGCTGCATGAGAGCACTCTTAGCAGGTGGCACTTGGACCCAGGCACTGTGCAAACATTCATTTTGTGCACTGTTGCAGCAATGGGTCCTATATAATGAGAGACCCACTGGACTAACAAATCAAACAATAGCTTTAGAATGGCTTGTTGCCCACAGCAGACAATTAAAGGAAAGGTTATCAACTGGGGAAAGAATGGGGAAGTATGAGCTGGAAAAAACACTACTTTGAAAAGATCTAATCCAGGAGAATTTGATCCGTTAGCCTCAAAAAACATCACCCCTATGCAGGGTGGCCCTGACCTTTTCAGTTCTTTCTCCTGAAAAATTCCTATCAAATTCAGTGGGAACGTGTCACCAAACAAATGTGAGTTAGGAAAAGTATAGGATATTTCCAACATAAGAAAACCACAGAGAACCCCTATTAGAATACAGATGTAGGAAACTTGTATTGGATCATTTAGAGATGAATCCAGAGTCCCATGACTTCATGAGAATTACATAAGAACAAAAGGCTTCAAAGTAGAATAACAACAAGACTCTGCATCTGCATAGTATTATTCATCTTCAGAAAGGAAGTAGTAGTATGTTCGTATTACAGAGAGGCTCAAATAACTTGCTTCAGAACTCTGGAGGCCTGGTTCTCAGTCCCTTCACCTACGTGTTAGATTCCTTTTCTTTCCCAGTAATGAAGTGCGATTTCCCCAAATATAACTTCAACTTGTGAAAGTGAAAGGCCCAATAAATTAATTAGGCAGATCTTTTAATGGCTTAACATAACTCTGATTGCTTTAAAGACTGTAGAAGTGGGAAACAGAACAAGATGGTAGTAGTCTAGTTGTGAAGTAGCCAATGCATTGATCTAAGTTGTATTTTGGTTGGAAGAAACCTTTTTGTAATACTCTGAGGTAGAAATTAACTTCTGAACAGATGTATGAACTACAGGTAGGATTATGGTCGAAAGGGGTCCCTTAAAAAAACAGGTTGGAGGAGGAAGCAGACAGTTGTCTCAGCAGAATCCAGTTTTTGTATCTGGCTCTTTATTGCTTTTGGAAGTGCATTGCACTATTGTATGCTACTGCCTTCTGTGCGCGACATTAATAGTTGTGCCTCCTATGTGTAGTTAGGAATACATTTCAACACTTAAGTTATGGCATCCAAGTATAAAGCAGAAGGGCAGTCTCAGTAGTCTCTGCCCTCTTGCATGATTATATAAAATCCATGAAAGTGAAAACACCAACTTTGTTACAGTAATGAACTGTGTCCTGGCAAAATTAAGAAACTAAATACAGAGGGAAAGAAGGCGAGAGATCTTTCCAGTCAAGAGCAAAAAGTTTAGCCAGCTCTCAGCTAGAGCAACATTCGTTAGCTACAGGGCACAGGATAAAATATAAACGCAGGAAAATCAGTGATCAGAAGGAAATTAAATTCTTTTGACTGTAAAGCAGAAGCAGCTTTGCATGAGTGAAGAACAAGCTCTCCACCCAGTAAACAAAGCTAGGAAATTGCCCTGTGAATGGGAGCGTGCCTTGGAAAAACTCTATCTCTTCATAAGAAGGGACAGAGGGAAGAGTAGACCGTGGAAAGCTCTCAGAATGTGGGAACTACTTTTGCATCCTGTAGAGCTCCCCTCTAGAAGATTGCAGCCTCCCCACTGCTGAAACAGAATCAGCATTGGGCAAAGGTAAGAAGCCACAGGGCCACAAGTCATGTGAACTGGCACAACGTTCCTGGAAAATGAAAGAGACTGCCACAGCCACTCTTGACTGAAGCGCGCAGCCTGTTCACACCAATGATTTGTTCAGCAGGCCGTTAATACTTTGGCTAAGTACAGACGGTCAGAAAGCCCGAGCTGAATCAATTCAGTCTTCTAAGCTGTGCAGAATGAACCAATAAGCAAGTGAACGGACATTCATTTTTGATTCTGGAAGTACAGCCCCATGCCTGTGGTGGCCCAGGCCAGGAGCTGGGGGGCACTAGAGAATGCCTCCCTGTTCTACTGGAGCAGACGGCTTGGGCCAAGGCTAGTCAGCCCACCCTGCAAAAGGGGGCTTGCGGGGGAGGTGCAAACTCAGATGCTAGAGGACTGAGTTAATTTGAATCTGGAGGGGATCTTGGACAGAAGTTCAATAAATTGATTTAACCTAAAGCAGCTAAGTCTGATACTATGGCCATCTAGGTTATCAACTATTTTGAAAGTAGTTTATATATGTACTGAACTTTGTCTTACAGATTTGAACCAGTTTCCAATCACTTATACCAGGTTATGTGTAATTTCTGTCCCTAGCCTTCTACAGCAGCAGCCAGTAACGGGTACTGTCACTGGTATGTTTCAGAGCTTGTGGTGTGTCTAATGTCAATGTGTAGATGACCCACAGCCATGCTGCCTTTTTGATTTACAGGGTAGCTAAGCTTGCACATCTTAGCTTTTAATATGATTCCTGGAATGCAAATAACCCAGTTTTCAAGTATAAAAATATACTGTTGCTGTAAAAGGACAGTGGAATGGATATGACATTCTTTAGCTGTGGGATTAGATGGTACTGTAAACTGCAGCAAGAGGACTGTGCTCTAATCCACTGATGGCCACAGTCCTTGAAACCTCAAGGCATGTGTTGTTTAAGGATTTCAGTTTAACATTTTCACATCATCAGGATGCAGCACATACAGGGCATACCCTTGCATGGGATGTATGTTGTCATATATCCCAATGGTCTCCAGAACTGACTTAAAGAACTATGCAGGGAGCATGTTTTATTTTACTAGGACTGAGAATAAATGCAACAGGTGCTACATAAAGGGCCAGTCCTGCAGCTTAATGCTTCATTTTAGTGGATATTTTAGGACTACAGGATCCAGCCCAATATTTGTTTTTTTGAATGGGGTAGTCTTAGGAGACATGCCAGCGTGGGACCTGAGGTTCTGCGTAAGAGGTGTAGTAGGGGAGAGACGAATTTTCCTAGGGTTTTTTGAGAAGCTTTTTTTATTATCTGGCTTTCTACATCTTCCCAGAAACACTTCCATTAACCCTGTTGCATCATCGGCTTTAGACAAAGCACAAATAAGGCGCATTCTTTTCTTTAGTGGAGCCTCAGGCATTGCTGTCTCATTAGAAAGAGCTTGCTGAGTGTCCTTGGATCAGTAGGTCAAGAGACCTGTCCTAGCCTGTTAAAAATGTATGGATGTCATTATTCTCCTAAATATTTTGGTATGCCAGTTTTGTTTTACCTTCCTCTTGCTCTTTTCTTGATTGCATGATCTTAAGCAGGCTCTACTATCAGTATGGCAAACACGAAGTATATAAAGAATAGCCTCACAGTCTCTATGGTAGGCCATAACTAACTGGGAGAGGGAGCACTTTAGATTAGGCTGGTGTTAAGATTTATTTTTTAACAAACTTTGAAAGTAGAAAAGAGTAAAAGACATTAGGGAGGCACCTTTATTTTTTCTTTTCAGTGCTTTCAGGTTCTAATGTCTGGCTAGCAAGTTGTTTTTTCTAAAATAGCTGAAGAGTTAATAATGAATGTTCCTCAATGAATGAACAGTTAGCTAGATTGGACTATCTTACTAAGTGCTGCTCCAAGCTTGTACCCAATTCTGCTTGGTGGCAAAGCTTACACAGACTCCAAGAGGATTGGAATTGGGGACCCCTTTTCAACTGCTTTGGAGTTCAGATGAAGTACTGAATTTCTGACCACCAGAGGTAGGCATTGTAAGATAGGTATTGGCCATAGCTAGTATCAAGAGAAGCTCTTTCTGGCTCACAGTTTCTTATGTCTCACTTTCACCCAAGACTGGCTAACAGCCCTAAGCTAAGGGATGATATTGTGGTCAGAGAAAGAATCCAAAACAAAAGAAGGGCTGAGTGCTGCTGATTTTTACCATATGCATAAGGATTTTTTCTTATTTTCACACTAAAGAAGCCAGGAGTAATGGCCTTTTCCATCTCCTGTTGACTTTGCTGTAAGACGCAGAGGCCTGTTTGAAGTAGCTGACTGGACATTAAATGATTTATGATCATTCTGGCCTTAACAATTGCTGTTCCTGGGATCTGGGGGGCTTCTACATCCAGGCCTTCATACCAGGGGCAGTTTCACCCCACTTGCACTGTGCCCAGTGCACAGGAAGGCCAACCTGGGAGCTCCCTGCGCCCGATGTCCTGCCCTAGCCAGGCAG